GAATAATTTTGGTTAAAGAAGATAAAAGTTTTAAATAAAATAGAAATATTTTATTTATTTAGTTTTATTTAGTCGAAACTAATTTATTAACTTATTACCAAGTTAATTTTTATTATGAAACTTTAAGACAATGTTATTTTAGAAGCAAGTCGAATTTGAGTGTCTTTTATACAATTAAATTAATTAGTAACAACTTCATTGCAATCTAGCATTCTAACCGCGATATCGCGACGTAACATTCTAACCGCGACGCTAATTTCTAAATAAAGTCAACTAATTTCGACGTTATACGAATAAAAATAAAAAATAATTATTATAAAAAAGTAAATTAATGCTCAATTAAATTGATATAACGTGTGATCAATCAATAAAAGAAGGAATTGGGAATATGAAAACATAACAATGATGAAATTAAAAAAAAAATTCTATCAATTAATATACACAATAATAATAATGGTGGTGGTAGTTAATCTATATTTTTTTTTTCAAAGATATTATAAATAAATTAATAATAACAAGAGTATTTTACATTATAAAAAAATACTCTTTACTATTATTAATCTTTTATCAATCCTTATTATTTTGTAATAATGCTGCTTTTATTCTTTATTCTTTTATTATTTTATAATAATGATATTAATAATATTTAGAAAACATCTACACCTTCCATGAGAGATAATCTCTTAACATATTCTTCTATATTAGAAATTTCTGCGTCAACATCATCATTGGAATTATCCACATTGTCAACTTTTTTACTGCTAGTAGCAGTAGCACCGCTACTACCACTATTATCATTTCCGTGTAAATGACCATAAAACCATTTTTCCAATAATAAATAAACTTTTTCATTTAAAGGACCATAAAACAATAAATATAAAACATCCTCTTGTAAATAGCTATTATAATTAATATTAGTAAAATAAGACAGATCCTCCTCCACACAATCATTAAGATTATTGAAAACAATCATAAGAGCATCAACTATACCAACATCAATAAATTGCTTTGCATAAGGATTTTGTGAAATTGTTGTTTGTGATGACCTGCACATATCACCGACTGATAATATATTAACAAATAGTTCAATAACTTTATGCAGAAATTCCTCGGGTGTTGATAAATTT